ACAATTCAAAAAGGATGTGGAGAAGCTTGAGAGAGTCCAGAGAAGAGCCACACGCATGATCAGAGGTCAAGAAAACAGACTTTACGACGACAGGCTAAGAGTCATGGGGCTCTTTAACCTGGAAAAGCGCAGCCTCAGGGGTGATCTGATGGCCACCGATAAGTTTATTAGGGGTGACCACCAATATCTGGGGGAATGTTTGTTCACCAGAGCGCCCCAAGGGATGACAAAGTCGAATGGTCATAAACTACTACAAGACCATTTCAGGCTGGACATAAGGAAGAATTTCTTTACTGTCCGAGCCCCCAAGGTCTGGAACAGCCTGCCATCGGAGGTGGTTCAAGCACCTACATTGAACACCTTCAAGAGCAGTTTGGATGCTTATCTTGCTGGGATCCTATGACCCCAGCTGACTTCCTGCCCTTTGGGCGGGGTGTTGGACTCGATGATCTTCCGAGGTCTCTTCCAGCCCTAATGTCTATGAAATCTATGAAGCCAGCTCCTGTTCTGTCCTGGGGGATGCTTTCTAGAGTTGTTTGATATTATTTGGTATTTCAACAGCAAGTGGTACAACTTTGCAATGAAATTTTGGGCCATTGTTCCTTTTTCTGTATAGCTTACAGTGATGGTTGAAATTTTGTGAGGCTCAATTTAAAAAGTTGCTGAAAAAAGGTTTGTAAACAACTGATCTCATCTTTTTGGACCAGTTTTCTCTAGTCCAACATTTCCACATATGTTCTATTAATTGCAAAGCACATTTTTAGGGAGCATGCTAAAAGCCTGCCTGTTCTTTCTATGCTCAAAGAGAACTGACAGCCTTTAAACTAATCTGTATGGAATTTGATAGACTCAGTAACCACTAGATGGCATGCCTCCTCTCAGAACCAGAAGTAACTAACTTGCATATCTGTTGATAAACACCGGATGCCCAGCCCTTATATGACTTTTTAATCAGCTCTTAATGCACTTTATAAAAGGAATCAGTGTCACTGTCTTCATTTTACAGGTGGGAAAACTGAGACATGGAAACAAGCTTGGATTTGGCCAGGATCATCTAGCCGGCCAGTGACAGGGCCAGGAGTAGAACATATGTTTCATGTTAGTACACACTGTAGGCAAGAAACTGCATAGTTGTCCTGTTTGCAGGCCAGGCTTGGGAATACAGCAACCTGTGATCAATGATGGTTGCCTCTAGTTCTATTCCCTCCAAAAGCAGTGACAGTATAGCCCTACAGGCTTCTGAAAGCAAATAAATATTTATGTAGAACTAATTTTGTTGTTTTTGGGGGGAAAAAACATACTAAAAACAATACATCAGCCCATAAACATGCCTCCCCATGTCTAAGACATACCAGTTGCCTGGGAAAAACCTGATTCTCTCCTAGCTGACCACTTTGATCCTGGGAGAAATTTGATACAGTAACTTTCCTTTTGATCTCTA